AATAAAATTGATAGAAAAAATAACAAAACCGATAGCGTTTTATCAAATCCGGTAAATAGCTCAATAATAAAAAAATCAATAAAAATAATAATATTTTCGATAACTTTTACCACTTTTATTAAAAAATAATAATAAAATCGATAACTTCTTTTTTTAATTATATATTAAAACTGTCACACATAATATTTTTGTATATATCAAGAACGTCGGCTATATGTTGAATATCATTAATTATTATTGTAATCGATTTTTTTTAAAAAAAAAGGATTGGCTAAGATATTTTATGCCTCAATTATGACGCAACAGTTAACACCGACTCCTGTGAACCTACGTAAATTCCATGCGCTAATACACTAGTTCTAGGGGTAAGATAATTAAATTAAGGAAAATTTACTTTTAAGAGTGTCTAAAATTACAGATTTTGTTATAAAAATTATACAAATTATTACGATTTTGATAATGTGTTGTGTAATTGAAAAATTACTCACAATGTTCTTAAATCATATAAATATCAGAGTTTGTAGTGTATGAAATTACATAAATTATTGCAAAATTTACATAATTTTTTGTATCTTTGGTAGTATTTTATATGATCTTGTAACTACACAAAATGTTATCAAATTCACAACAATTTGTGTATTTTTTCAACGATTTATATAATTTTCTAAATAATTTTATCTTAATTATTCATATATTTTTAAAATTTTAATATGTCAAATCAAAACTAATATTTTCTAAATAATTCTGTTTTCGTAGAAAATGAAAGAGAGAGAAAGTGGAAAAGATGTCGAGAAAGCAACAGCTCACGAGTCAGATTTGTGGGGTCCATCCATTTTACCCCATAGATTTAGTGGTCCGCACCTCCCCTAACCCTAAATTGACGTCGCTATGATTATCCGGTTCGGCGCGACTAGACTCTTGCAAAAAAAAAATTTCGATTTTTTTATTTACCGACAATTTTTTAATAATCACACACGTTTATGTATTTGACGTATCACACAATTAAGTGATGGAGCCGCAGCTTGAGGTGGGTATTGGAATTTGATATTTGACGCCCTAAAACATTTTTTTTAACTCTATATATATGGTTCAGAAAAAAAAAATCAATGACATGTTTTCACTATTTGGAGGGCATACCTGGCAACCCTTCCAGAACACATGTTTCCCTTTGAGTTAGAACTTAGAATTCCCTAACAGCTACATAGGCCTGCCGGCATAATGAAGTAAATAAATTTAAGGTTGTTAACAGTGAGAACTACTTGCTTTTTAAGGTTGTTTCACAGTAAAAAAAACAGTTTTGAGGGTTGTCTTGTTAATTAACTTTTTCTTAATCCATTTTCAAAAACATGCCTTTTGGCTTTCTATCATACAGAAGCATATAATTTGGAGTATTAGTTAAGAAAATTGAGATGCCAAACCCAATAAGCACCCATTAATATATATTGATCAATATTTAATGTATTGTAAGATATAACTTTTTAATGATATTTTATTTGATTCGAAAATTCATTAAGTGGTTTCGGTAGTTAGGAAATATCGTTCTTCTTAGCGTTACTGGTTCAAGCAGTTGGGTCTGCAGGTGTGTGTCTGTTATCAATGACTACAAAATATCCCAAATAGATAGATCCTGTAATCTCCCTAAACTATTAAAAAATCATTTGATTCAATGAAAGTATATAAAATCATACATTATTTTTTTGGTTGCTCTCCGGTTCCATTAATCTTGACCGACCCTGGTTACACACATGATTTTGATAGGTGAATCTTCTGGCATAAATTTTCGGCACACACAAATATATCTATTTTGAGCAAAAAAAAAAATATTTAATCAATTGATTTAATCTTACTTTGACAACAGTGCTATCAATGCATTCAACATTAGCTACATATATGCCTTATGTAATGGCCAAAGTTGGAACCTAGTGAAGCATTAGGACATAATTAAGACAAAGAATGGTTGGTCCTAATCACCATGTCCACTTTCAAACATTGAACTTAAAGTGTGTTGTAATCTTTAATTAATATGCATAAGACAAGTTCATCAACAACAAAATAATGCACTACTAATGGAGAGCCAACAAAATATACATTAACTGTGTTTAGAGCCTCTTTGTGTGTTTAACCGCGTTTAATGTTCCGTCCAATCACAACATCTCAGTAACTGACGTTGAAACTTTAAAGCATCATTAATCAATGATTAAATTAACAACAACAACAGTCTAAAGGGGGCAAGGCACAGATCGACAAATCACAGGATCTATTTCTTGATAATGTTTTGGGTGACAAAGAGGCTCCAACAAAACATTAAACTATATCTTAAAATGGTTTTAGTGTCGTATTAGTATTAGGGGTGAACACTTGAAAAAAAATATAATTTGATTTGATGTGACAAAATTCAACTTAAAAGATTTTAAATTCAAATTATAAAATACGACTGCATCTTTTAGTAATTAGTGTATTAATTAATTTTTAAGTTTTAGTTGAGTCCTCAACTTTACATGACATATGTATACTACATATGAAAAAATATATATGTATAATATCATAATATTATAAGTATTTACAATTAAATTTACGTAAAAACTCGAATAACATGGAATGATTCGACTTGAATTTCATAAATTTAACTCGACTAAAAAATTTAAATAAAATTTGAGATATAAAATAAGTTTCGTTAACTTGAATAATTTAAATTTTTTACTCGACTTTACTTGAATGCTCACCCCTAATTAATCTCTCTATTATGCTAACAATTTAAATTAATTATAGCTATAAACAATAAAGACTAGCCGTCAAAATGAATTTGAATTTTTGAAATATGCATGGAAATTCTAATATTAATCGTAGAATATTGAGAGTTTTTTATTAAGTTAAAGTGATTATAAAAGATATTATATGTTTTAAATAATCTCAATCACTCTGTTGTAATTGTTGGTACTTGAAATTATGATATCTAAAAACATTTCAATTACTTCAATCATTGAAGTAAATTGATTCGTGCTAGAGGTATTTGAGTTATTAAGTAAGTATAAACTAATGTTGTATTATTATTATTATTTGTTTTAGAAGCACTTGCATCAAATCCGGTGCACAAAAGTACGGGTATCTTTAAAATAATGTCCAATTTCAGATGCAAATCTTATTATATTATTTTTTTGTTAAATGTAGAAGAGTGAACGTTTGAAAATTATATTTTAAAAAATAAACAATTAATTGAAAAAATGGCTTAAGATAATTTAAATAAATACAATACATTTATTTATTTTTAAAAATGAATTAAGTTAAAAATATAAAATAAATAATGTAAAGTGTTCTTTAAGATATTCGAAAGGCCATCAAGATAAATAGCGTGGGACATAGGGGGAATAAATCAAGGTACAACTGCTCAAGGTTGAAACCTCTTCGATTCAAATTCTAATTATATATTTTAATAATTTTGAATTTATAATTATTTAAATATAATTCAAATTGAATAAAAATAAAAAATATTATACTTGAGTTCGATATATTCTGGACGAAACTGGTGATCCCTTGAGTGAAACAGATTCAATAATCAATGGTATAAAATATGTAAATCACATGTCTCTGTGGGGAAGAATGTTAGTAACAGTATATATGTCCAGTCTCAAGCGTAATGCTGCCAGGCGTGAATTTTTTGTGGTCGATTCTCTAGTAGCAGGACTAAGACTATTCAAAGAGTCTTTGGTTTCAAGCTTGGGTGATTGCCTGCGAGATACTTGAGTGTTCCTCTGGTTATGGAGAAACTTTCTGACAAAGATTGTGTTGTGCTTATTGAAACGATGAAGTCAGTTGAATCTTTGGTTTGGAAGACACCTTAGTTATACCGGTAGGCTCCAACTGCTTAGGGCAATGCTATTTAATATAACTGACTATTTGTGTAGACAATTGATTATGCCTCAAGCTGTTATTAAAGGTGTGGAGCAGCCGTGTTCTCGTTTCTTTTGGAAGGGGTCAGATATTGCTACTAAGGGTTCTCGTGTTATTTGGGAGCAGATTTGTTCCTTGAGATCTGAGGGTGGATTTGGAGTCGAGGATATTAAGAAAATGGTTCCAAGGATGATACAAGTTTGATGGTATTAATATCATAACGGTTTTGTTGAATATTAATATCATAACCATTGAGTAATTGATGCAACTAATGAGAATAATATCAATGGTTTTATTTCAGAATATGGTGAAGGATACAGTCGACTACTCGACCAACTTGAGCAAATACGAAGGGTCCTCCATCACGCATTTGAAGCGCATCACGTTCCATGACTCCCAAATCTGCTCCGATTGCAGGTGCGAGGTCAGTCTTGTTTATTACCTATTAAGAAAATGTTACAAATTCATGTTAGAACTCCCAATAAGTGCATTCAATGCAATGGAACAACAGAATAAATAAAATTAAACACCAGGAGATCAGCTTGGGTTATGCCAGGGCCATCCTTCCGAGGGATCTTATCACCACCAGATACATCTATTATATAGATAATATAGTCAGCTAGTTCTCTGCTGAAGTTGGCAGCTAAATTATCTGCATCCATAGAAGTTCGCATAACTAAATCAGTAAGTTATTTTTCATTTTCCAATTAGCACAAAAACACCTTGTTCGGTACTTTCAAAATGTGGTGCGTCCTCAAAGTTTTCATGCCAAATCACTTTAATAGAAAAATTGTACCTACCTCCTCCGGATTTACAAAGAAGTGAATCTGTTTTGTACAAGTTAGAAAGCTCCTCAAGACTAGAGGACCGAGATTGATGCCGATGTCTTCACAGATAGCAGCAGCATGCGGGCAACCTCCTGTTTCTACAGCGCGTACCTTTCCTGGGGAAGTGCCCCATGTTTCACCAAGAACTCGCCGTCCTCTTTTGTGAATATGTCATTAGTTAATTAAATAATAAGGAGAAAGCGATTATTCCGAACCATTTTTTTAATCCTAACAGTATCACATTACATGCCGTCCACTCCAACAGATTCAATTTTTTTTTGCAGTTAAGTCCTTCAACTTTCACTTATTCCCCCTTAACGGACTTACAGTTTTCCATTTTACGCATTGTACGCGTTAAAGATTTCGGTCCGTATCCGTCTCTCTTTCTTCTGTTTTTTCGTTTTTTTGGGTCCCTTCAAGTTGCGTATTAATTCAGAAACTCAGAATGTAGCATTTTCCCATACAATAATCTCTGAAGTTCGGCCCCCGCTTCTCGAGACCGATCCTCCTATCAAGAATGCCGGCGAAATGTTGAGGAGCTAGGCTTCTACGTCGCTGAAAAGGATCAAATTTCGGTCCCCAAACCTTGTTTCATTGCGACATTGCCAGATTTGGAGGAACAAGGTTTGGTTTTTCTTCGCTTCTTTCTTTGGGGGGGGGATTAGGGCTTTATTGATCTCAGTTGATAGGGTTGTAAAGGTGCGAATTTGAAGGCTTGGGTGAATCTAGATTTTGCCTTTTCTTTCGACGGTTCTTTTGCATGCTTAAAGAAATTAGTGGATTTCGAGTTAGATGAAGTTTATTTCGTGGTTTTGCTTGTTGAGTATCGTAAGATGAAAAGGGTAAAAAGTGAAATTCCCACTGTCAGGAGGTTCAAGTTGTCTCATTTGTTGTTTGGTTTAGGAGGTTTATACTTAATTTTCATAGCTTTTAGGCTTCCATATTTCTTGGAGATAACAGCAGTTTTGAGTGGAGATGATAACTATGATGGATTGAATGGGAAGGTTGTCGGGGATTTTAATGATGCAGATTTGGGTAAACCCTTGGTTATTGCTGTGTATAAAGATACGTTTCACCGGAAATTGGAGAATAAGCTAATCCAGGATGCTCCTACGAGGCCTACTGAGGAACCCTTGGAGGAAGGAAGAGGTGGAGTAAAGCCCATTAAGCCGCTTCAGCATCCATACGGTCGAATAACGGGTGAGATTTTGCGGCGAATGAATAAAACTAGTGAATTGTCGGTGCTTGAGAGAATGGCGGAAGAGGCTTGGACTTTGGGATTGAAAGCATGGGAAGAAGTGGATACCTTTGATGGAAAGGAGATTGAACAGAATTCTTTGTTTGATGGGAAGCCAGAGTTGTGTCCTTCATGGTTATCTGTAAACGGAGAAGATTTGGCGAGTGGAGACAGGCTAATGTTCCTTCCATGCGGTCTCAAAGCGGGATCTTCAATTACAATTGTTGGTACTCCTCGTTATGCTCATCAAGAGTACGTACCTCAGCTTGTAAAGTTGAGGAATGGCAATGGCATAGTGATGGTCTCACAGTTCATGGTTGAATTGCAAGGGTTGCAGTCTGTGGATGGGGAAGCTCCACCTAAGATTTTACATTTGAATCCTAGACTGAAAGGAGATTGGAGTCACAAGCCAGTCATTGAGCACAACACTTGCTACAGAATGCAATGGGGTACGGCTCAAAGATGTGATGGTTTGCCATCCAAGGATGATGAAGACATGCTTGGTAAGCATCGCCAGTTTGCAGTTTTTTTCTTGTTTTCTTATTTCTTCTTCGTTTTAAAACTGAATTTAAGTTTTCATTTATTTGGAGGAATAAAAGAACAAAGCAGTTCATAACTCTTTGAAAATAAGCCATGCTATGCCAATTGTGTGTTTGAGGATAAATAAATTTGTGACTACATAGTCAAGAAACAAGAACTTCACAGAAATTTATGAATCATGTTTGTCTACGAACTCTCTACATACTGGATTCAATTTCCATAATATATCAATGATGATAACCTGCGATTATCTACATAAACTTATGATTTTTGCTTAAATGCTTTTAACGGTATTTCTTAGAAAGTGCTTACTAGTAGTAGTAGAAGAAGGCATGTAAGCTGGTAATCTATAGGGAAGTTGTTTCCAGTTGCAAATTTTTTGTAGTGCTTGAGTTCTAATGTGGTTACATGCTAGAAGAAGAGAAAGGGAATGCCACATGTTTCGTATTTTGCATGTGGATGAGAGAGCTTTCATGTAGTAATTTTGTAACTTTGTTCAGTTTATGTCTTCTATTTTTGTATGCGTTTGAGTTTTGAAAATTTCAAAGGACGTTTATCAAGTACCTATAATTTTGGCAGTTGATGGACAGCGAAGATGTGAAAAATGGATCCGGAATGATGTTGCAGACTCAAAAGAGTCCAAGACAACTTCTTGGTTCAGACGGTTCATTGGACGGGAACAGAAACCTGAAGTTACCTGGCCATTTCCTTTTGTGGAGGGCAGACTGTTTATCCTGACTCTTCGTGCTGGCGTTGATGGATATCATATCAATGTTGGGGGTCAACATGTGACTTCATTCACGTACCGTACGGTATGTTGATTCATTTTAGTTAATAGGTGACTTTTGTGTTTTCCAATATCTATATCAATGCATCTTTCATGGTTCGTGGCCTTGTAAATCTCACTAAGATTACATAAAAACTATATTTTCAGGGTTTTTCACTTGAAGATGCAACAGGGCTGGCCATAAAAGGAGACGTGGATGTTCATTCAGTTTATGCAACCTCTCTTCCCACCTCTCATCCAAGTTTCTCCCCCCAAAGAGTTTTGGAAATGTCACCAAAATGGAAAGCTTCTCCCTTGCCTAATAGATCTATTAAACTTTTTATTGGGATTCTCTCTGCTACCAATCACTTTGCGGAACGCATGGCGGTTAGAAAAACTTGGATGCAATCTTCGGACATCAAGTCTTTAAATGTAGTAGTCCGATTCTTTGTTGCGCTGGTAAGGTCGTTGAACTCTCTATAGATTTTAAGATCTTGTTAAATGCTTAACTGTTATGAATCGTCATTTCAGTTTGTTTCACAAATATCTATGTGAGGTTATGGAAAAAATGTGTTGGAATGTCAGTTGCCCTGGAAGTGTGGCTTTCATCTATTCTATACTCTTTCTGGTTCTTGAGTAGCTGTCCTTTGCAGCACATTCTTTTTTAGCCATTAATGTGCACATTGTTTGTATTCCTTCTTTTTGTCTCTACTTCTTTATGACTTGCAGAATCCAAGGAAGGAGGTGAATGCGGTGCTGAAGAAGGAAGCAGCCTATTTTGGTGATATTGTAATTTTGCCATTCATGGACCGCTATGAACTTGTGGTTCTTAAAACTATAGCAATTTGTGAATATGGGGTGAGTTCATGGTGTATTGTCCATTTCCTTTCTATGAAAGTCCGGCTGTTGTTATTTTCTGCAATTTATTATCATAGATTTATGTGCTTGTGGTCCATAGATATCATTTTTATGGATTTATGTTGAATTTCTTTTAAAGGTGATTCTAAATCTCCAGAATTTGTCGATGCAGGTGCAAAATGTTTCAGCTGCTTACATCATGAAATGTGACGATGACACATTTGTTAGAGTCGATACTGTCTTGAAACAGATTGATGGCATCTCTCCTGGAAAGTCACTTTATATGGGAAATCTCAACCTTCTGCACCGTCCTTTGAGAAATGGAAAGTGGGTTGTTACTTATGAGGTATGCATGATATACAGGTTTTTTCCGACTTCTTTCGTGATTTACCTTAGTGTGTTTTTCTTCATTTTGTAAGGGACAAATTTACTTCATTTTTCTTCGGACTTCTCATTTACGAAAAGCAAAGTTGTATCTCAATTCTGATTTCTGAAACTGTTAACTTTTGTTGTGTAATCATAAGAAACTGCAAAATGATCTTTTTGGTTGCTTTGGTTTCTCATATATACGTGATTTAACGTCTATAATCCTAAATTGTCTTTCACTATCGACTTTGCTGTATTCGAAACATTCCTAGGAGTTAATTGCATCAAGAGTTGAATTAAATACTGAGCATTCCTTAAGGATTATTTTCTGATGTAACAGGAGTGGCCGGAAGAAGTTTATCCTCCCTATGCCAATGGACCCGGATATGTTATTTCCAGTGATATTGCCAAGTTTGTTGTCTCACAACATGTCAATCGAAAATTAAGGGTTAGTTATAAAATTGTATTTTTTTTAATCCACCCCCATTTCTTTTTACCTAGTCTCTCATGACTGTAAAGAAACATCTGTTGTGTTCCCATCTACCACTTCAGATTGATCAACTTCATTATTTTATCTATCTGCAGCTTTTCAAGATGGAGGATGTGAGTATGGGAATGTGGGTCGAACAATTTAACCAGACCACAGCCGTCCAGTATTCCCACAGCTGGAAGTTCTGTCAATATGGATGCTTAGTAGACTACTATACCTCACATTACCAATCCCCTAGGCAGATGATTTGTCTTTGGGACAATCTTTCAAGAGGTAAGGCACACTGCTGCAACTTCAGATGACAACGGGCAATTCTTGTTGTGCGTGGCCTTCCCCCACCCTGTATTTTCACCGCTTTCTACCCATTTTTGTGCAATTCGGTGTTGAGTAACGAACCTTCTAGTGCAAGATACGGAATGTTCTGCGATAACTTCTGATAAGTAGGTTATTAGCCGGAATTGTATACGTATCATGAATGTCTTTCGAATACTTGGTAGCAAAGCCATTTGCCTTCAAGTTCTCGCTTTCAAAAACTTTGTTTGATTATATTTTGATAAGAAGAAAATGATATCATCTTGGTGTGCACATTGCAGCTTACTAAAACTAATTCAACAATTCATAGGATGCCAACGTGTAATGTTGAATTCAACAATTCATTTTTAGTTAAAACCAAGTCAAGAAATTATATTTGCTCAAAGAATCTTATTAACAGAGAAAAAAGAAAAAAAAACTCTCGATCTATCTAAAATGGAGGTTGGTTTTGGGATTCAATGCTAAGTGGAGAAGGAATGTTCTCAGCTTGTCTCCCTGGTTTAACCCATCTACCATATTGGTTCAGCACAAGTCCCTTGAATGGCCTTTCATACCAACACTCTGGGATCTTCAATTCCTTTATCAACATATTGGTTGACTTGTTCACCAAGGCAACATCCCTTCTCGCATTCCAACGGAACTTCGATGTCTTGCTAACGTATCCATCTAACAGATGAAGGTATATCTCTAAGTTATGACATCCTGTATAATCGGGATCGCGCCTTAAATAGGGTGAATGGTGCATGTCAAGCTTCAATTGCATGCCGACATGCCTGTAGATCCATTTCAATCTCCCTGTGACTGCTGTGAACTTGTTAAGAATGGTGTTCAGTATAAACCCGGGTAATTTTGGGACTATATCTTGCTTGATGACGACCCTTAGCGTCTTGACTCCTAGTTCGTTGAGCTTCTCTTTGAAATGTATGTTCCCGACTCTTGGTGCAGCGAAGGAGATGACGCTAATGACGAGATCGGGGAAGTAAGTCGCTGCGTCGTAGGCATTGAGGAGTGCTAATGCACCACCAAGGCTATGACCACAGATTGTTAAGCTTACTTCCTCGCCTCTGTCTCGGAAGAATGCAACGAGCTTCTGGATTTCTTCCATGACTTGTTCTTTTGCACTCAACTTGTTGTACCTTGTGAACTCTCCCTTTGAGCAATAGACTCCGAGGAATCCACTTTGGACCTTGATATTGGTCTTGCCAAGACGCTGCAGGCTTGTTCTTAGGTCACTGTACCACTCGGTCGGAGCCACCGTGCCCCGCCATGCCACGAGGATGTCTCTCCTCCCGATTCTCGTGGTTTCGGCATCACCGCTAACCGTGACATACCCCATCCAGTTGGAATCCTTACTCCAAGTACAATAAGACCTCTCGAACCATTCGGGAACATCGACATGTGACATCGCATAAATGTACTTGGTAACCTTGTAACCGTGCTTAGTAAGGCCTAGTTCTTCAAACAGTTTATTCGGATTATACCTACAGCTTCCGCAAAACTCCGATAAGGGATCGAAATCGAAAGCATCGTATGTCGCCTCGACAAATTCTCCATACTTGACGATCTCTCGCCTCAGCCAAGGGTGGAGTGGCTCCATTAGCCCATCCCAGTCATGCAAACCATGAAGCTCACGCCATAGCGTGGATACATTCTCCACAGGTGACTTGGTGGGCGTCATGGCATCGCCTCGGTCGATGAAATCCGCCGCCGTGTACGGCAACCGGATGAGCTGAGCCAAAGGCATCGTGGGACGTACCGTCTTCTTCTTCTTTTTCATCACGTGTCGAATCGGCCTAATGATGGCCAGATCATGGTGGTTGAGTTTCAGGGTGGAGAGCTTGTTGAGATTGGAAAGGCCGTTCCTCAGACGGGATTTCATGGCAGTTTTTATACGCTGCCATGTAACACTGAGTTTCAATCTCCACACCCTTTTGTTACTTCTTTGCTTTTCTGGTTTCTTGCCCATGTTTCTCATTGGCGACAACTCCATTTTCTGATCAAAGGAAAAAAGCTTGTAATATATGTGTGTGTATATATTATGTGCTGTCAACTGAAAAGTGGGTGCTTTTTCTTCCTGCAAATGCCATGGAAGGGAAGGATTTATATATAAAATTGTGATTCAGAGTAGGCGGTTTAGCAAGGAACTTTCTGAGTTACGAGCTGCCATCCACATCTCGATGGAGACTGACAAGTCAATTGGGGGATGCATTAAACAAATCATATATATAAGCTGTTAAAGTGAATCTGGTTAAGGCTTAACCATATACTAGCTCTCGGCGGCTGGTAAGCATCAGATTTAAAAATATTTTTTAAAGTAATCACAAGTAAGTTTGTAACACAATTTTTTTTGAACGAGCAAACATAATTAAAGTTTTAGGGTGGACATAAACAAAATTTTAAATTGGAAATCATCAATAAAATAAAAAATTAATTAAAAAATTTTTGAATTTCAGAATGGACACATGTCCGCCTATACGTGGCTCCACCACTGCAATGATAAAAATATTATTTGCTCAATAGTATAGAAATACAATTGTAAAAAATAAATGAAGAGGGCATTTCAATCTTGCTTTCAGCATCGACTAATAGCACGTATGCCAATTTTATTTTTAACCATGCTAATTCATTATTTGTATCTATTATTTATTTTTTGTTATCAGTATTACTAATATCTTCTTTTTTGCTTAGAAAATGATAACATAAATTCTCAAATAAGTTATTAATTTTTAAATGTTAATGGCGTGTTTTAATCTTCTTCCTACGTAATTGATTTTCAAACTTTGTATTAATTCAAAATTTGAATGTAATTTTAAAACTTTTTTAAAAAAAATCCAAGGAAAAAAATATTTGGTGAATTTCTATAGTTGCAACTACAACTAGTGGTAGTTAAAAGTAACCTTAGTTGATATAATTTATTCCTTCGGGGGTGGTTGGGTCAATTTAATACTTAAAAAAGAAAGAGTTTGGCATCACCCGTAAGGGCCAAGCGACCCTAATAGAGGGCTGGCTGTGTCAATTTTTTAGTTGGACGTATTCAATATGACCTTGGAATATGTTATACTTGGTCTAAATATGACGGCAATGTCTATGTTACCTTAATAAAATTCAATATTTAATCCTTTATTCTTATAATGCTGTTAATAAGTTTAAATTAATAAAATCGTCACCGTTGTTAAAATGATTATGCAATTTCTTTTCTAAAAAAGACTTAATTATTTCTCAAATTAAAAAATGGAGCATAAAAAGGATCAGAATAATTTTGAAAACTTCTCTCTATCCTTAAATCAAATGATATTGAACAGTTAAGCATCAACCACGATACAATTGAGCTACACTCGATAAGCAATAGTAGATAAATATTTTTTTACTATCCTGGAATAAGTTAAATATAATATTTGTTTAAATATAACTCTTAACCATTTGATATTGAACGTTCACACCCTTAACATTCTTAATGCTCAGGACTTCAAGAAATGCCGACAGTTTTTCACCATTGAAGCAGCTCGATTCGTGTTTCAAAAGAGCTTTTAAATCTCTCTTTTGGGAAAGAAAACTTAAAATCTCTCTTTTTATGATTAACTGCTTTTGATTTTCATTTCTAAAAAATTTATTCACATTTTATAATTCAAAAGCCTTTCTAAATTATACTTTTTAAAATGAGAAAATAACTTTATTGACAAAAAATGTTTTATAATATACGATTTTAACCAATTTCTTTTGGATTTGTCAAAATGACCAACTAAATCGCAATGCGATCGATAATTCGCAACGCGATCTCCGGTATCGCAAATCAGTTTCCAGATTCGTAACGCGAACTTCGACTATCGCAATGCGAATATGTAAATCGCAATGCGATAGTCGACTATCGCAACGACCACGACCACGACCAGACCAGACCCAACCCGACCCGAGACGGACGGCGGCGGCGACGGCGCGCAAGAGTCCCCCTTGTTCTCTATCACTCAACAAGGAAGTGGGAAAGTTAAGCCTTAAATACCATTCCCAATAGTGTTTCCAATATTATGTGGGATTGAGCATTACCAACACTTGTTTCCAATACAATGTGATTATTCAGGAAACAATTAACAATCATGCACCTTAAAACAACTGAATCAACAACCAATTGCATTAGTATTATACGATTAAATATGTCATAATTAAAAGTCAATCTACAATCAATCGCGATTATTGTAATTTTAAGCAAAACATTCAAAAATAATATCACTATTTAAGGCTCAATCCCTCATAGTATTGGGAACAAGTGTTGGTAATGCTCAATCCCACATAGTATTGGAAACACTATTGTGAATGGTATTTAAGGCTTGGCTTTCCCACTTCCTTGTTGAGTGATAGAGAATAAGGGGGACTCTCGCGCGCCGTCGCTGCCGCCTTCTCGTCTCGTCTCGGGTCGTGGTCGTGGTAATACGTGGTCGTCGACACGTCCGCGCGAATACTATCTTTTTAGAGAAAATTCTTAAGAAACAAATGCATTGCGATATTCGAAGTTCGCGTTGCGAATCTGGAAACTGATTTGCGATACCGGAGATCGCGCTGCGAATTATCGATCGCGCGATTTAGTTGGTCATTTTGGCAAATCCATAAAAAATTGGTTAAAATCGTATATTATAAGACATTTTTGATCACTGAGGTTATTTTCTCTTTTAAAATATTATTAATCTAGTTAGAGATTATACATTGTTATTATTATTATTATTATAAATTATTCTTATTAATCCAAAAAGTTATTAGTTTTTAATTAAGCTAGTCACTAGGTCATTTTATCTGTCATTAACAATTAAATTATATTGATCAATAATATTTTCTATCGACGAAAGGTGAATTAAAATTTTCTAAGACAATAAGAATTAATTAAGATAGTTTTGTAAAGACTCATTTAATTTTTTCAAGTACTTTTAAAACCTTTAGTTTCTTTTATATTATTTGAAATAATATCGTATTCTTTTATATTCAAAGATGGAATGTTAATTGTTACTCCAACTATAATATTTTAGACTCAAATGTTATTTACATAATTTCTTTGGAAGGTATTATCTACATAAACTAAGGTGTGTATCATTTTCGTATAACAGTTGTATTATAAATAAGGGTAAAGTATATAAATAGTCCCCAAACTTTTAGAAGACTTGCATTTTGGTCACTCAACTTTTGAAACTTGCAATACAGTCATCGAATTTTTAGTTCGTTTTCAGTAAGGTTGATGTCGTTATCTCCTGTTAGTTTTTACTGACGTGACACTTAACTCCGGTTAAACCACCTTCTTCTTCTTTTCTTGTTCCCGTTCACCTCACCTCCGATTAGTGGTGGCTCACACCGTCATCACCATCGTCACTGTCGTTGCCTCCCGACTACACTTCGATCCTCGATTCAGACTCACAGTCCAATGTTTGTCACCAAATTCCTAGTTCCGTCCTTGTTAACAGTTGAATTGATTATCCAACGAAAATTAGGTTTGAGATAACATGTTAGCCGATGCTCCCTCAAAACACGTTTATAAATTATAACTATCTTCATTATTTAATTAATAAAAGAAAAAAAAACACAAAATATATTAGTATAAAATTGATGCATGGGACATATGTTTGAAATATTAGAGCTAATATCACGCGTTGAATGTCAAAGCTCCTAAATCCTTCTCCTACCTAATTTTATTAATATAATAAACATAATATCCGAATATTAAATCTGAATATTTTATTTAATAGTATAATTATATATTTTTATAATTTTAAAATGGGTAAACTACATAAATGGTCATTGAACTTTTAGGATACTTGCATTTTGGTCACCCAACTTTTAAATCTTGCAATACAATCACTAGACTTTTTGCTCGTTTTCAATCAGGCCTCTGTCGTTACCTCCCGTTAGTTTTATCTGAAGTGGCATATTACCTTCCGTTACCTCTCTTCATCTTCTTCTTCTTGACGATCCCGCCAAGAAAAACCATAAAATTCACACATTCTTCTTTAACAACCCTAAAAGTTATGTGACCAAAACAAACTAGAAGTTTTTTGTGGTCTTACTGTTTGTAAGATGATGGGTAGGCTTAGCAATAATGGCCTGCTTTTAATCGGCAGTAATAATCATCTAATCAGAATCCACAACATTAGAAGGTAAAAAGGCATAAAAGAATCCAGAAATTGAGCAGAGCAGAGAAAAATTGTCTTGCCTTCAACTCTCGGTTCCACTGCTAGCTGCATCCCGCCCCAAACGCACTACAATTCGTTTTGCACCTGTTTACGATAACATTAGCCATTTCCCCCCTCCCTGATCTTATCACTTTATTCATCAATTCTTCTTGTCGTTTTGACTCTGGGTTTAATAAAATTTTGCAGTTAAATGATTTGCTGAGTTTGGGTCAGCGTCGTATAGGGAAACGCATGGCCGTCTCCTGGAGTGGGTCGGTATTCAAATTTCTCCCCTTTTTTTCTTTTCTACACTGTTTCATGGAATTTTGATTTACTTAGTGACCATTTATCTACTTTACCCTTTTAAAATTCTAAATTCAATCTTATTACAGATCAAGTAAGCTTAAAAAACATTTATTATGATTTATATACTACTTTGAAATATTTTTAGATTATAAATAGGGTGACAATTTAATCTGAATTCGACGAATTCTGATTCAATTTAATTTAAGGATCTTTTCTTAAAAAAAAATAAGTTCAAGTCAAATTGAGTGTTGTAAAGGGTGATGTTGGGTCGAGTTTAGATTTAGAGTAAAAAACCTTCGACCGAACTTAACTTGACCTAAGATATTAGTATACTTTTTCTCTATATATTTAAACATAAATACTATAATATCTCTATATAAATTTTGTTATTAAAATTTTATTTTGCCAAATAAAAATTATATATATATATATATATATATATATATTCTATAGATTAAATCAGGTAGAATATTAATTTTTATTTTAAAATTTGATTACTTAAGATTTTTTAAAACTCGAATCAATAGAAAGTGAGAAT